TGCGACAAGTCTTACACATATACATATACCCAGGGGTTTGATGACCTCACAAAAGTTTGTTGATTTTTCGGTATCATGACAAGGAGATTGAGTACTAGCATTGCGTGGAGTTGCTGGTCAGGCACAGGCCTACGTCGAAAAGTTCTGATTGTTTTACTATATTGTATATGACGAAAGACGACCGATGTTTCGGTTATGAGTTACAGACATTAAAATCATGAGTTACGTGTCTGTAGAAGACCCCAAAAGACCGCAATATACATATTTGCAGTGTCAGCAGGATCGTGCAGTTTTTAATGACAGAAGAAGTTTGAGATGATGCCTTTCCTCCGATGTCGAAATGTGGTGCTTCGGCATGGATATCCACTTCAGGATGGCAGATCCCCCGCCAAGGCCTATACTACCCGAAGTCGCATCTGAGGATTCCACCTCGAGCTCGAACTTCGCAACTTCCACGACACGACAACATGGCTGCTCCAAGACTGCCGTTCCTATGGCCTATGCTATTTCAGCCAACCAAATCCACGCGAGTAGGCGCGTCGATCACAAAAGAGCGTGCATCGCCATCTGTTTCCCGCACGCGACAAGCACGCCGTCATTTCACGACTTCGCCCCGCCAATCGGAGCCACCGAGCACACAGCGATATGGAAAAGCATATGAGCACGCAGCTCCAGCATTGGACCAAGAGCCCCCTAAAGAGCCTCAAGAAAAGGAGCCTGTGTCCAACGAGAAACCCCCGCAAGACCCCGTTCATGAACACGAAGAAGTAGAGGAAGATGCGCCAACAGCAACAACCAGTCCAACCACACCCACTCAAGCAAGCGCAACAGAAGAAACCGCCCCGCCAACAACGCCGGCGCCTGATCCTCCCAAGAAAAGCGATACGAAACCCGTCGACAGCGTTCTGCACATTCCCACCGCGGCTGAAGAGGAGTCGCACAAGGCACCGCACCTGAAGACACCGCCATATGTCCACCATTTCGATACCTACGGTCTCGTGCGCAAGCTCTCGCAATCCTCATACACCCCCGAGCAATCCATCACCATAATGAAAGCTGTGCGACAAACCCTTTTGGACAATATGGAGTTGGCGCGCAAGGAGCTCGTCAGCAAGAGCAATGTGGAAAATGAAACATACCTCTTCCGGGCCGCGTGTAGCGAACTGAAGACGGAGATAGGCAACGCGAAGAAAGGCGAAATGGAGAGGATGCGCACGGAAAGAGGGCAATTGCAGCACGAGGTCGATATCCTGGGGCAGAGATTAGGACAGGAGACGACTCATCTCCGAGACGAGCTTAAGGGGCTTTTCGACGACAGGAAGATGGCTGTCAGGCAGGAACAGAGGGTTATGGAGACCAAGGTATGTTCATCACATTTCGTCTTCGACGCAACATACTAACAGTAATGTTCTCTAGATCCAAGAACTCAACTACAAAATCACCGTCGCGCTCAACTCTGACGCGCGATCCGAGGTCGAAGGCGTCCGATGGGTGCTTACCCGCCGCGCAGCCATCACAGTCGGTGTTAGTGCGTTTATGCTCTTCGTTGCACTACGCTATACGAGCTATGTGCAGCACCAGCTACAGGAGGAGAAAAGGAACAGACCGCCGCCGCATCGACCGAGCCCACTGGAGAATTTGGCGGATAGCACGACGACGGCAAGTAGACCGGTTGTGGATGTTGCGAGTCCTACTCAAGGGGATGCGCTGGGCGGAGAGCTGTTGGCTACGGAGGGTGTGTCGTTGGGCTAGAGACTATAGCTTACGTCTTCATCGCTCCACTACTACCAAACATTTTCCCGTGACAAGTGCGCTCTGTAGATCTCCCTTTTCTTACCAACACTGCCTCGCCAAATCTACAACTTATGCTTCTTCTCTCCACTCGCCAGCCTCGCAAACTCCTTCTGCGGCACGCCCTTCAAAAACCTCTGCAATCCTCCCATCACCTCCTCCACGCCCTGTCGATCCAACGCCTCCCTATACGGCTTTTGAATTAACTCCTTGATCAGCACCAAACTCTCGCTGTTGAGATGATCCCCTAGTCTCTCCTCAACTTCCTTCCTAACCTCACCCAGGAACTTATCACTGTAGCTCTCATCCTTGACATCGACGCCAGCGTTAATGACCTTATTGACAAAGCCCGTCGCTACCAACTCGTCGCAAGTGATACGTTTCGACATAATAAGCGCCTCATTCGCCTTCGCAATACCCAACCTCCTCACAAACCCCATACTCGCATTGCCCTCCGCAACAAGCCCCAACGAGCTAAACGGCGTAAGCAAAAACGCATGCGGCGCCGCATACACGAAATCGCTAAACGCAATCAACGCCGCTGATAGTCCCACCGCCGGTCCATTCAGCGCCGTAATGAGTATCTTGGGATGCGTGTAAAACGCATGTGTGATGTGCAGGTTGTTGGATACGAAGGACTTGAGGTACTGGTGCCGCTCGTCGATGGCGCTGCTGTCGGTGGTGGAGCCAAAGGTTACGTCTGCGCCTGCGCTGAAGAAACGGCCCCGCCCGGTTAGGATGGTGATGTAGATGTCGGGGCGGGCGGCGACTTCGTTCATGGCGCGGGCGAGCAGGTAGTAGGTGTCAGCGTCGAGGGCGTTTAGCTTTTTGGGTACGTTGAGGGTTATTATGGCGGTTTTGCCGGAGTAGGTTGTGATAATTGGGTCTGAGGAGGACATGTTGGGTGGGTTTGCGTGGTGGGGTGCCGTTGGGGAGTCGAGGTGTTGGTTATGGTGTTTAAGCTGGATGTGTTCTTGGGTGAGACGTTGGTTATGTTTGTTGGAGTGCTTGAGAGATTCTTAGTTGGGATGTCAGTGAGCCGAGGCTAGAATGCGGAGACGGGATAGGCATTGTTAGGACAACCGAGCGCGACAGCGTTGACGAGTGGAGTGTAGCGGATAGCTCTCATTGCTTAACGGAGATGGAGATACTATGGATACGGGAGTAGTTCAGAAGCAGGGTAGGAAATAAATTCCAAGTTGCAGGCACATGTGAAGGTTACGGCTTCCCCAGCTTGGAAGTGGGGAAACGCGCGGAGGTAAGGCTGAAGATTAGATCTAACCTCTTATCCCCGAACCATCACCGATCAGATCTGCGAAACTTCGACTCCATCATCACTCCACTCAAGCGCGAAAGTCTCCGGAGTGCGCCGCAAATACCACACCACGTCGACTAGATACCGCAACGATGGGTGGCCCCAACCTCGAAGTGTTCAAGGTACGTAGATAGGATCCCTATAGCGCCTCGCGCATCTCTGCTAAAAGCGACTACACCAATAATCCCACTTGCACTCCACTTGCACTCCACTTGCACTCCAACCAAATCGCGCCTGATACTCTTGAACGTACACTGACCAGACCTTCCAGTTCGGGATGTACATTCTCTTCCCAATCAGCATCATGTACTACTTTGGCACGAACCTCGACGGCAAATTCACCGTTCCCGATTTCTGGCCCAAGCCAGGCCAAACGCACAAGATCCCGTACGATAGAGACGAGATTGCAAAGGAATTGGAGAGGTTGAAGCAGAGGAATCTCGAGAACAAGAGGAGGAGAGAGGAGCAAGAGAGGTTGAGGGAACTGGGCGCCGGCAGGGAGGAGTAGAGGTCGGGACAGCATGCTGAATGCACACGAACAACACCCTATGACAGGCACCGAGCCACGAATACGAGCGAACGAGAAGTCACGAGCTGAGGTGGTGGATATTTGCTGAGAGACATCAAGCGCGAAGAAGCAGCTCGTTCTGCGCCGCTATTGGCGTTATTGTACAATACTGTATACTACAAAATGTACACCAGGCGGGGGAGTCAGAGACGGATCACGCAGTGACCTTACCTCTAATCTCCTCCCAGACATCATCTCCTATGCTTCCTTTAGTCCAGTTCATATACACTCCTTGTACACCCTGCACTTCCTGCAGCTCATCCAAGAAGCTACCCAATTCTTTAGCCGCGCCCTCGTCCTCCAGAGGCACCTTGGTATCCTCATTAGGATCATAGATGATCTCGCTCTCCTCAATTTCTACATCTAGCTCCTTCGCCAGTCTTTCCGCAGTCTTATTCGTCAACGCAGGCTCGGTGTACAACACGACTCTTCCCTCGGCGTCTTCGTCTACATCTAGCACGCCAGCTTCAAGGGCTGGCTCTAGCACCTCGTCTACGCCTACGCCATCTTTCTTCCGTAGTATTATCCGTCCCTTCTTCTCAAACATGAAAGCTACAGTCGAGACGCTGCCGCCTGCCTCTTTTATGAGTAGTCGTAGGTCGGCTAGGGTGCGCAACTTGTTGTCCGTTTGACATTCTATTATTGTGGCGACGGAGGGCGGCAGGATGGCTTCGAGCATAAGTGATTCAAGGGCGGCGCCCGATGCGGAGAGCCCTTGTCCGCGGGCGATGGCGGCTTCGATAGAGGCTTTCGGCACGGCGGACTTCTTCGCGGTCGAGATTGCGAGGGAGAGGCGGGGGTTCATGTCGGGATTCGGGCCACCAAGCTTGACGGCGTTGGTGATGTCGCGGGTCATAATGGACCGTTGTTTGGACTTGCCGGCGTCATTCTTCGCTTTGTCATGTTTGATGGAAGACCACTTGCTGTGGTATGTTAGCCATGTGCCATTGAATTGTGAAGGCGACGTACGAGTGGCCTGATTGTAGATTTGGGGTGGTGCTCAAGCATCGCACCTGCTCTTGTATGCGCCACTGTCTCGGACGAGAAACATATCTACAGGAGCAGCATGTCGCGTTCTCCTTATAAAACGCAGAGAACACTGCGCGACGTAACGGGACAGACATGGCGGCAGATTTTAGTTGTTGACTCGCAATAGTACAAAAGTTGGAGATGCGTGCCTGCCAAGACGGGGGTCCGCAACTCCCACATGCATCCACCGGCCTCTCCACACTGGACATCTGTCACGTCAAGACTCGCTACGACATGAGCAGCCGAATGCGATAACTGCGATAACGAGACCGACGTCACGCGATCCCCTCACCAGCCATGGCAGCAGACGAGCCAGCCGCGGACAAAGGCCCCTCCAACCCTGAACTCGACATCAAGAAGCTCCACGCGCTACCTTCAGAACAGCAAGACCTCTACTTGCTGACCTTCAGCTCGGACCTCGCCCGCCATGTGGCCTCCTTAGATGGCGACGGCGCCTCGGCCCACCAGATATACATTAAGAAGGAGATATTCCAGATCGTCAACTTCGCGTCCCCCGCCCCCACACGAGTGATCCGAAACAACTTGGGACGAGCAATTGCGGGCATATTCGAAAAGGGAGACAGGAAGCTGTTATTTGAGTCTATCAACGAGTCGGTTGGCATAATCAACGCGGCAGGAAAGAGCGAGAAAGATGTGAGGACGAAGCATGCGGCTGTGCATTGCCTGGGCGCCATCTTCGAGGCCGCGGGCGATAGCGCTATAGGCCTGTCCCCACTGGCTGTCAAGTCGCTGCTAGGACTCATTAAGTTTTCGCAAAACTACACCGGACTACGAGCGGCAGTGTTCAAGGCTGTGGGCAAGGTCTTCAAAGGCGTCAGCTCGCACGCCGATGAACTCATTGCGAGAGACGCGTGGAAGCAGGCGCGCAATGCTGGCAGCGACAAATCCTACCTTGTTCAGACAGCGGTGTTCTACTGTCTGGAACAACTACTCCGGCACACGACCTTCTTCGACAATTCGAACGACTTCGATAAATTGCAGAATGTAGCTTGGAAGGCGATTGATAGTCCCTCGTCGTCTGTGAGACGCGCTGTTGCATCGTGCATCAGCGCTGCGTTGGTCAAGAACTACTCTGAGAACGCGCCAGTTGACCTTCCCATCCTTGGCATTACCCGTTCGTCGACCGCGCAGAAGAAAAAGAAGAACAGAAAACCAGGCGATGACGACGGTGATGATGTGGTTATGGAGCGCTCAGAGTCTCCGGCACCCAAGAAGTCGGCTTACCAACTCTCTTTCACCATCGCGAGTCTTCTCAAACTGCTTGCGACACAATACTGCCGACCCCAAGCTGGCAATCGCGCACGAGCTGGAATTGCCGTGTGCTACATCAAGACCATCAAGGGGCTGGGCGAGCAGATCGTCGAGACCAAATATCCAGAAATCGCGCGCAGCTTATTCACGGACATTCTCAGCAACAATGTCATTGTACAGAATCGCTACCGCACACTTAGCACTAGGAAGTTCGTTGCCGTCATACTGGAAACAGTCATTGGCCGCGAGATGCTTGGAGAATCTGGCCAGCTCAATGCCGCAAGGTTTTTGGTCAATGAGATATTAAAAGACTATCCACAGGCGCTCAAGGAACGACCAGAGCCAACAAAGCAGACTTTGATCGGGGCACTGAGTACAATGTCCTCACTCTTCAATAGTTTGGGATCCGCTACAAATGTCATTGCGGACTCTTGCCGCGATGCACTTCTCCAGGTCTTGCAGCATCCGAGTTACACAGTTCAGGTGACCGCTTCCGCCTGTCTGCGCTCTTTTGTGCTTGCGTGTCCACTTCAGTTACTGCCAGCAGTTACGATCTGTATGAACAGCGTCAACCGAGAGCTTGGTCTTCTTGCTGGACCGAGACAATCACCCAGAAAGTGCGTTGGTCTCGCGAACGGCCTTTCTGCTGTACTCAGCACATCTACGTCTCAACCACTCCATGGGTCCGTGGATGTAAATTCGAGAGTACTCCAACAAGCCACTTCACTCCTCAAGTCGGCGAGCAACTCAGATCTGAGGATTGGTTCAACTCAGATTCAAGTCGCATGGATCCTGATCGGAGGCTTGATGACTCTCGGTCCTAACTTTGTCAAGATACATCTTTCCCAGCTACTCCTGTTGTGGAAGAATGCGCTTCCGAAACCCCTAAACAGAGACAATATGGTGCAAAGGAACTACCTAGAACTCTGCTTCCTGGCACATGTTCGGGAGTGCGCTTTAGGCTCTATCTTGACCTTCTTGGAGTTCAACAGCCGCATCTTAACGCTTGACGTTACGAAAAGACTGGCAGCGATGCTGCAAAATACAACAATGTTCCTGAATACCCTACCGGCTAAGAAGACAACGGATGATATGTCTCAACGTCTGTCACCCGCACTTCAACTTCACGACTTTGATCTCATGGTCCGGAGGAGAGTGCTTCAATGTTACACCAAACTTGTCGAGTTGAGTCCAGCAAGTAGCCATGAGGTCTTACTTCAGACAAACTTGTTACCTTTCGCCATCGCATCCTTCGCAGAGCCGGACAACTATACCACAAGCTCATTTAGTACGGCAATCGCAAGTGCTGCAGGAACATTCGAAAGCATATGGGAGGTGGCTGACAACCATGGCTTCGGTGTCACTGGACTGGTGCGTGGTTTCGACATCACACCTCTTCCTGGAGAGCAAGATACTGGTACCCACCATCACTGGCTCACGAGGCATGGACCTGAGTCGATTATTGACCGCACGCTTCTATCACCCATCTGTGGTGCTCGTGAACACGATTCAATATCCCTGTACATCAGGACATCAGACGAGAGTCATGAGCTTCCCGACCCACCAGCGACTGAAGTCGTCAACTCGGCACTTCAGTTGTTTGCGATTTGTCTACCACTCCAAACTGCTAGGATCCAAGAAAGCATTTTGGAGCAGATGACATCATTCCTTTCCGCAAGTAGCCTGCAACGCGATATTAACAGAAAGACGGCCATGATGGTCAATATTGCATATGCGGTGCTATCTGCTCTAAAGGTTGCAGTCAAGGAGACCCGCTCGGCTCCAGGAAGTCTGAAAGGACCGGCGGTCGAGAAGGTGATGCAGGATCTGTTGCATCTTTTCGTTGTCCTTCCCGACCCGTTCATCCGCAACCTTGCTAGTGAAGCTTTGGGTCGTCTGTGCAACAGCTCTGGAAACGCTCTCACCACCACTGAGGTAAACTACCTGGTCGATCAGATCGTCGCTAATCGGGAACCCAATGCTCGTTCTGGGTATGCTGTCGCGCTTGGCTGTATACACTCTCAGCTCGGTGGTATGGCTGCTGGCTTTCATCTCAAGAATATACTTGGAATACTGATGTCGCTCGGCAATGATCCCCATCCGGTTGTGCACTTCTGGGCCATCGACAGTCTATCGAGAGTTGCTGACTCCGCCGGTCTATCCTTCTCCAGTTATGTCACCAGTACGCTCGGCATGCTAGCGCAACTGTATGCCGCCGACACACACAATGATGAATCAATGTCTCCGGCATATTCAAACATTGAGATCGACATACCTACCCCCGCCGTAATCGCGCGATGCGTCGACAGCACGATCAACGTGCTTGGGCCGGACCTGCAAGATGTTGCAAAGGCAAGAGATCTGATCATGACTCTTGTCGGCCTCTTCCAGGGCGATGCGGATGAGCTGATCATCATCGAGAGTCTTCGTTGCCAGGAACACATTTCGCTATACGCGCCTGGCCATATGGAGTTCTCAGCCTACGTGAAACAATTGCAACGGGCGGTTGAAAGCAGCTCGACACAAATCCGTGACATGGCTATCGACGGGTTACACAACCTCATGAGGCGCAACACGGAGGAAGTCATACGCGCTGCCGATCCCGGTCTGGAAGATCAGCTGTGGCATGTTCTCGATCGTGACTCTGAGCATGAAGTGGTGCGCAATATCATCCGCAACTGGCTGCATCAGACTGGCTTATCGGACACCGCGACATGGGTGCAGCGATGCCACTCAGTCCTCACAAAAACGAAGAAGGTCGAGACACAGGACAAGATCGAATCGAAGCCAAAAGCAGGAGCGACTGATTTGCAGGACGAGGAAGTCGCGGGCTTTGCATCAGCGTCTAATGCGCCTGGGGCTGAGGCTGGAGATGGCGCTCAAGTCAGTCAGGAACTACTCAAATGGCAAGTGCGAACATTCGGTATGGATTGCTTGAGCGAGCTCGTTGCGATGGTGAGCAAAGAGGCCACATTCAGAGAGGAGTCACCCTGTGTCATGGCCTTGCAGCAGAGGGTTGCTGATGTTGTGCGCATCGCTTTCTCTGCATCGACCGCCGGTGTAGTACAACTGAGGATTCGCGGCTTGAAGATTATCGACCAAGTGCTCAAGCTGTTCGGCAAAACACCCGATCCCGACTTCGCCGAAGTCACTTTGCTCGAGCAGTACCAAGCTCAAATTGGTTCAGCTCTTACCCCAGCGTTTGCAGCAGACTCATCGCCCGAGCTCGCCGCTGAAGCTGTCAACGTATGCGCCACTTTCATTGCTACCGGAATCGTTACAGACGTAGATCGAATGGGTCGTATCCTCAAGTTGCTCGTCTCAGCGCTTGAGAACTTCTCCAGCGAATCCGAAACCGCAGCAATCGGCGATCTCAAGGGACTCAGCTCGAACGCTCAAGTCATGGTCAAAATGGCAGTCTTCTCAGCATGGGCAGAACTGCAGATTGCGAGTGCCGAGCAAAGCTACTTGGTGGATGTATTGAAGCCGCACATCGCAAAATTGACTCCTCTTTGGCTAGCGTCGCTTCGAGAGTATGCCCGCCTGAGGTTCGAGCCCGACATATCCTCTTCCATGGGCTCTGCCTCTCTATCTGGAAGTCTGGACACAATCTATGCTGCGCTCAACCGCGAGACGCTTCTGAAGGTATGATTGGTCGTCGAAGATCTTGATCAATACTAACAAAGTGCAGTTCTACCAAGATACCTGGCTCAACCTTGTAGATGCAATTGCCAGCCTCATCGACGAAGACAGCGAATTTGTCTTTGACGCTCTAGACGGCAAGACTGAATTGTCAGAATCCACCCCTAATGGGAAGTCTGATCACATCAACTACCGCGATGAGCCTGTTGCTTTCTTCTTTGTTCTGTTCGGTCTCGCATTCGAAGCATTAGCAGGCCGCCCAGGTGATCTGCAAGCATCCAAAGAGCAAATTCTGGAGATATTGCAGGCACTGAAGAAGATTCTGCGCCCTTCAGTATCCGGCCATGCGATATACCGAGAGGTTGTATTCTCTGAAACAATGGACATGCTAGACAGGCTCGTGCTCACTGAAGGCTTGACGGTTCAAACAGTCATCGTCGAGATCACACGAAACCTATGTCTTGGCCATCCATCTGCACGCAGAGACCAAGGGTAAGGACACCCTCAAACTCTACACTTAGCTTGCTGACATTGATAGAACTACCGCCGCGGATGAGCATCTTTCCGAAGATATTGATCAGCTATTCGAATTGACCAAGATCATGGTGCTAGTCCTGTCCGGACTCGTGCCTGGGCTGGAAGACAGCAAAGCTAAGGGTATGTTGACTTCGGTATCGCGCCATAATAAGTCGCTAATAATACTCTCAGCGCGCCACGAGATGAATGAAGAGGCGGTCGCTCTACTGACGACGGCACTCTCCGCGCTCGTAGATGCCGCGCAAGTCTTCCCATCGATCATCAAGGCTGACCTCCACGCTTGTATCCTTCACATTTTCGCGACTATACTAAGCACTGGGGCATGCCAAACCACAGTCATTCCTCAAGCACTTCCAATTTTCAAGCGCTTCATCACCAGTCTCGCACCGCATGCCGAAGGAACGGATGACACAAGCAAGCAACTCCGCGCAACTCTTTCGCGCTTCCTCGCAATTCTCAGATACGCGCAGCAGCGTGAGTTTGACGCTGCTCTTGCATGTGAGAAGAACACTGTTCTTGCGACTACCATCTTACTGAGCTCCGCCGCTTCTGCGTTCTCACCTGATGATCCGCTCGTCAAGCGCTTCATCGACGACCTATTCGATTGTCTCGGCACGGTAACAACGAGCAAGGTAGCAGCAGGCTGCTGTCGCTCACTGCTGCTTCTACCCAAGAAAGGCGCTCTTGAGACGAGCCTTGCCAAACTCATCCTTCCCCCAACACTCGCCTTCTTGGCGACGCCCTCTGATGTAGAGGGTCTTGACGATTCTCGCACAACGCTCGCACAGACTCTTGTCACATTCATCTCCACATTACCACAATCATCACAGCGCCAGACTGCGACCAAGATCATCATACCTGCGCTGTTGGCACGGGCGCAGAAGGAGCCCAAGGCCAGCCAAGAGATTGCGGCGCGCTTACTCGAGATCGCTAGTGCGGATCAGCAGGCGTTTAGGGGCGTGGTGACTGGGCTGAACGCCGACCAGAGGAGTTTTATGGAGGGAGTGCTCAAGAGTGGGCAAGGGCCGAGAAGGCAGGAGGTTAGTAGGGAGGATGACGGCATGCCAAAGATCGCGCTCAAGATGGACTTTGGCTCATAAGACTCGTTGTTCTTTGTACGGCGTGGATCTTTGGACAACATCTTCCTCTGAATTTCGTTCAATGAGCGGTTGACTTTTCGCATCTGGATGCTCAGCTTACCACATGTCAGCAAGAGAAGGAGCGTGCGCTGCGCGGGTCGCATGCATGCATAGGCTCTATTGAAGGACACAGATCCACCATTGGCACGCTCTGCATTGTAGGTAATTCTCATTGGTCGCTGTGGCGATTGTTGGCTTTGTGCGCACCTTCAGGCTGGACAGGAAGTCATGGTTGAGCACATTAGAGCTAATTCCTGGAACGGGGCGTTCGAGCTAGACGCATTCCGGCGAGTTGCAGATCAGAAGCATGTAAGCCACATGGCGGCAGTATACTCTAACCATGCAATAATGTTCGATGTTGGATCTTGACCAGTAATTTCTACAGTCGCCTACCCGCGATTTGGGGGCTGAGCCGGTGTTATTGGTAGGACATTTCAAGCCTCCGGGAGACGGCTCACCACCGCTGCACCCGGAAGCGACTGCGGGTGTCACAGAACCACGCCTTCTCAATTCCGTCGCCAAGCTGACGACCCAATTTTCATGTGGATTACATGTCGCGACCCGTGCCGTGGAGAAGGTATGAGCAAGAAACCGCCACGCCCGCGATGCACGTCTGATCCTGCCAGTCGGTGTCTTTACCTCTTCGAGTGTCGCTCGCCACAAAATGAGTGAATAGCCAGACAGATACACGAGACATCTTATCGGCTTACGGTGGTCTCGATCTCTTTGTAGTATCTTTGGTTCCTTTATCTTCTCCTGCAGTCTCGGTGCTGAGGCTCTGCATGCTCTCTCCGCTGCAAGTTGTTTCGACCTCTTTATAGCCGTCGGCCTCCAGCACTGTTTCTTTCGTTCTTGGATCAGCGAGTACCCAACATCTGTTAGCCGACCAACATTGCCCACGACGAGCGATGGCAAACGACCCCGAAGTCGAGCATAAGACGGCTCTTAGCCAAGTTCGCAATGCCCCTCACGAAAGTTCACATGGATCGGAGAAAGATGCAGAATATCTTAGCAACACCCCTGATGGCGACAACACGGTCGACACCAACTTTCAGGCTGGTGTTCAAGACATCGAAGCCGTGACGCTCTCCTGGACCACCGGAGCGCTGGTGACTGCCTACATCCTCATATGGCTGGTCTACTTCATCCAGGGCTTAGTGGCACAAATCAGCGGCGCCTTAATACCCTACGTTACCTCTTCTTTCGCCCTCCACTCCCTCACCCCTACCACCAGCGTCCTCAGCTCTGTCATCGGAGGCGTGACGAATCTCAGCATAGCCAAGGTTCTGGACGTTTTCGGCCGCCCACAAGGATTTCTTCTCTGCTCCATACTCGCCACTGTTGGGCTTGTTATGTCGGCTGCTTGCAACAACGTCGAGGCATACGCTGCGTCGCAGATCTTCTATACCGTCGGCATCAATGGTGTTGGATACAGTCTGAGCGTGTTCGTCGCAGACACGACATCATTGCGCCACCGAGGTCTTATCCAAGCTCTGGCTGCTTCGTCCTCTTTGATCACCGCCTGGCTGGGCGGACCGATCTCTACGGCATTTCTCAACGGAGCAGGCTGGCGTTGGGCCTTTGGCATGGAAAGCATCCTCGTCCCGGCGGTCACCCTTCCTCTTTTCGGCCTTTTCACTTACCACTACTTCAAGGCGAAGAAGCAAGGTCTGGTACCCCAACGGTCGAGTGGACGCACATTTTGGGAGTCGTTCAAGTACTACATGCGCGAGTTCGACGCTGTTGGTCTCTTCACGCTATCTACTGGATTCGCATTCTTCCTTCTGCCGTTCAACCTCTACACTCTGCAAGCCAAGGGATGGGACTCGCCCATGATCATTTGCTTTCTCGTCTTCGGTATCATCTTACTGATCCTTTTCGGAATCTGGGAGCGATTCTTTGCTGAGATTTGCTTCATCCCCTGGAACCTTCTTCTGGATCGCACTGTCGCTGGAGCGTGTCTCCTGTCCTTTGCTCTCTTCTTCAGCTATATGTGCTGGAGTTTGTACTTCACCTCCATCCTGCAAGTCGTCAACAACCTCAGCGTTACGCATGCCAGCTACATCATGTCGACCTATAGCGTTGGTGGCTACATCTTGGCTATCCTTGTCGGTGGCTTCATATCCTATACTGGACGGTTCAAACCAGTCACTCTCTTCTTCTCACTCCCTATGGTAGTACTCGGAACCGCACTGCTCATCCACTTCAATCAGCCCACGGAAAAGATCGGTTATATCGTCATGTGCCAGATCTTCGCCGCGTTTGGTGGTGGCGTCATGACAATCACGGCCGAGATTGCCATCCTGGCCGCAGTCAAGGAGCAGCAATACTTCGCTGTCGCCATCGCTCTGGTTTCCATGTGTGGAGGTGTTGGTGGAGCCATTGGACTAACGGTGTCCTCTGCAATTTGGCAAGACGTGGTCCCCAAGAAGCTCATGGAGTACCTTCCGGCGGAAGAACTTCCAAACTTCTTGATGATCTACGCGGATATCACGACGCAGCTGTCGTACCCAGTTGGATCACCCACTCGATTGGCGGTACAGAGGGCTTACGGAGATGCACAAAGATATCTGTTCATCGCAGGTACTGCTGCATGGATCATCGGCATAGCTGGCGTGCTCATGTGGCGAAACATCGACGTTATTGGCATGAAGCAGACAAAGGGCCGTGTATTCTAAGCTACATCAACATCTCGAGACAGCTGTTGTTAGAAAAGCGGGACATCGTTCTTCCAGCTTCTTGGTCTTGAGAGCAAAGAACATGAGACCTGCAGTACCTGAATCACCATGCACTAGAAACCCTTCTCTTCAACTCTTGTTACATTCGCGAGTCGCCTGTATACTTTGTATTATCGTAACCTCTTCCCATCGTTGATGTATTGTTGCGCGCTTGCCAGAAAAAAACGCCGGATGCATGATGTGCAAACTCCTGAAATCCTCCCAAATTCTTCCTATATATACACCACGCATGCTTTCCATAACTCCCTCCTCTTTATTACCCTACCAATGATCCGAGAAGCCTCAGCAATGCATGCCATAGTTCGAAAACGCTTGCGACGGGTCAATAATGATGGAATCGTCCAAATTCGTGAAAGCCAACAACTCCGAGTTGATGTCGTAGGCGCCAGAATCATCGAATGTAAGATCAAGACTTTGCTGTGTTTGTAGCGGGGTCATGAAGTTGCTGCGGTCGTTAGTATTATGGCTTACATAGGTTTATTCAGTCATCACTTACGGATCCCAGTTGCCCCATAACTGAGCGATCATCTCATCATCGAGATGAACCTGCCCACTCGACCCATTCGCGTCTCCGTTGTTCTGTTGAGCCTGGCCAGTGATACCTAGGTCTGCGAGACGTAATGGAGTTTCCTCAGTTACCATTTTGGTAAAGCCTATCTGCTCCATACCACGTGTGAGCTCCACCAGCTTCTCGATATGCGCGCTATACCGGGATGTTCTGGTGTGTGCGTAGGCAAGGATGAAGATCATGATCAGCCGTAGAATACATGTGCTATCAAAGGCCGTCAAGCTCGATAGTGTGCCATCGTTTGCCATTTGTGTCAGTATCGAGATGCTCTTTTGTGCGGCGTCAATGCACATCTTGCCCATCCGCTCGAACCATATCCTCTTGCTCGAAGCCAGCGTCCCATGCTTGATGACGAGGTACAGAAGGAACGGCCGCGTGAGGAGTATCGTGGTGCTCCAATATTGGAGATGCAAGATTGCAACCGCACGTCGGTGCGTGGGAGGCGCGGGTACGTCGTATTTGAGGTGTGGCGGCATCTGGCGATACCACTTTTGCAGCAGCAGAAGGGAGTTAGATACGGTTGAGAAGGATATCGAGTTGGCCGAGCGTTCCATGTAGACCGACTGTATGATCTCACGCTTCAAGCGACAGAGAGACACCGATGTCGCCATCCATGATAGCGGGGTATGGAGTCCGGGATATAGTATCTCATAACCGTTAGTATGGACGCGTTATGAATGGGCGATTTTAGACTTACCTGCTCTGACGGCATGGGTGTAGTGACCTTCGTAAACCGCTCATCTATGACCGTCGGACTCCCGCCTCGCGAAGATAGTTCCTGGTCGAGCTGGAACAGTGTCCACCAGATTCTGCGATTTTGTTCTCGCTCTATTGTAGTTCCAGACTCAGCCAGTTGGTCACGATGTAAGCCTAGAGAAAAGGCCATCTGAACGCTAGCGCCCATGTACAGATAAGCGCTGACCCTGGAGCAAAGGTTCTCCATAGCGATGCTCTGAGCAGTGGTCAGCCATGCCGAGAACAGTTTCAACAATGCCAAATGTACATACCATCGTAGCCATAGCACGTATACTGTCGACATCGGCCTCATCATATACTGCCGGAATGAGTTGTTTTGCAAGTGTAAGGTAGTCCTCGGATGTCTTCAAGTCTAATGCAGCTGGCCAATCCGGAGGCGGAGAGTTGCCATTGGCGCCTACATAGTTGGCTGCGCCAATAGCGAACATCGTGTACAAACAGCACATCCAAGAGCTCGACGAGCGGGGTGTCGACTCGGAGTACGTGTTTTCTATTCGTCGGAGCAGGGTTTCCACTGGGTATAACCAGTACGTGCAATGGACATCCTCTAGAAACCGGGAGATGTAGACGTCGCACAACTCTCGACCGGGAAGGTAGTAGCTCTCTTCAAAACCAGGAGAATTCGAAGGCGAGGAGCCTGGTAGTGTAGGCGGATATGAGCCTACTTTGGGGCCTGGGATAATCGACGGGTCCTTCCTTTGCATACCCAAAGTGGCCACAGCAGCATTAAAGGGTATTTCACTGTGAGCGCCAACGTATCGAAATTTCCCTCTTGAATCTTTCATCATGCAGCCCAACGGCTCATGCAGTTCCTGTACGTCTTGTTCCTCGCCATCATCAACACTCTCTGCATCCTCAGGCGACTCTTGGTCATTACTGAAGAGGCCTTCAGTATGCTGGACAGGCTCCGCATTGAATGTGCCTTCCTTGATGGCTTTGGCAATGGTTCGGAGCGATTGCAGGTTAAGCTCATGCCCAGGGAAGAAATGTTCGAGGATGCGCATAGAACATTGGTATTCTTCCTCGGTAACATGGTAATAAGGCCTTTTCCTTCTTGGGGTAGCGATTGTGCACACCGCGCCTGTGCGTGCGCAGTAACGACATGGTCCCGGGACTTAAGATTGTCAGCTTGTGTCATTGTCGGCACGATCGTACTACCGGTGGGAGAAACCCCATACCAGGATCAATACACTAGAGGTAGTCATTAGTTTCTTGGCACTGATTGACGTGGAGATGCCTTAAGCTACCTTTGTCTTCCTACTGCGACACCGATCACAGCTGCTGTGGACACGATGGGCGTTCGGAGCTCTGCTGGATGGGGGTGCCGAAACTCGTGGCGGGGCGACGGCCGCGTACTCGGCCATATTTATCCGATACCCTCGACAGCCCGGCCGAGTGAGATGACACTAGCGGCGATACGAAAATTTCATTCGGCAGGCTTGCAGCAGTTCGTGGAGAAGTCATGGAGCATCGAGCCCGCTGCAGTTGAGGATAAAGGAAAAGGGATCCCATTTCTAGCGGGGGATCTGCTGGGGCATTGCGCCCGTGCAAGGCCACCCTGCAGAACCTGCCGGTCGGCTAATCAAAATCTATAGCGAACACAGAATAGCGCTGGAGAGACGGCAAATCATGTCCCAGCCGATCGTGTCATGTCGCAATATTTAAGATATCTTAATCAAGACACTCTTTGTTTCCAGAAAGTTGTTCAGGGAATACAGAGGCTCGCCTTCGCGTCCTGAGCCTGATGACTTGTATCCACCGAAGGGCATGTCTACGCCGGTAACTAGGTGTCGTCGAGTCAGCGAATGCATCACGTACATTCCAATCGAATGCATATTGCTTACCTGGTGAGGTGCAGTTGACGCCGACCGTACCAGCTTCAAGCCCTGTTGCTAAGCGCATCGCGCGATCGATGTTTTTGGTGTACACTGACGCATATAGCCCGTACCTAGACAAAATTAGTCAATGTTTGTTTCAGCTTAGCCACGCTAGGGACCGTGAGACGAACTCTGTTGCATTAGCCTTCGCGAGCACCTCGTCCTCAGTCTTGAAGACATTGATGTTGACAACTGGGCCAAAGATCTCTTCTTTCATGATCTTTGCGTCCTCTGGCGTATTCTTGAATATGGTGGGCTCAATGTAATAGCCTTCGCGTCCCGATGGAGCGCCACCACCAGTGAGGAGTTCGCCGCCGGATTTCTTTCCCGATTCCAAATATTGTAACACAGTCTTGTGTTGCGCCTCATCAGCTTGTGGGCCATGGTTGACGCCATTCTCACGCGCATCAAGGGGGTCACCCATTTTGACATCTTTTTCGAAGTTCTGCTTGAAGAGCTCGATGTACTTGTCGGCAACCGTATCTTGGACGTAAATGCGCGAGTTGGCCATGCAGACTTGACCACTGTTCCACTGGATGCTGTGAGCCGTTTCCTTCACGGCCTTTTCCAGATCGGCATCTTCGAAGATGACCGCCGGAGACTTGCCTCCAAGTTCGAGGAATACTTGCTTCATGTTGGACTTTGCGGCGGCTGCCTGGATCAAACGTCCCGTACGACTTGAGCCTGTGAACGATAACGCTCGTACATCCATGTGGTGACTTAAGATGGATCCGCTAACATTGCCGAAGCCGGTGATGATGTTGATCACACCTGGAGGAAAGCCAGCTTGCTGTACCAGAGTGGCGATTTTTGCGGACTACTATCGTTAGTTTATTGCAGGAGTGTGGAAAGAATGGCGTACAGTCAATGGAGCCTTTTCAGAACTCTTCAAGACAACAGTATTCCCGACAATAAGAGCCGGTGCTAACTTATTGGCCAAAAACAACAACGGGACGTTCCAGGGAATAATGCCAGCTACAACACCGTAAGGTTGACGCAGCGTCATGTTGACATACCCCGGGGTTTGAACGCTCGTGGTACCTGTTCAATGTTGGTAACCTGCTGCAAAACTCACACTCACCCATCCTACCTTGCACACTGTATCCAGCTTCTGCATAACGATCCCACTTCGCCGCAGAAGCATAGGCATCGAAGAACTCGCCTACTGGGCGACCCATGGAGCTTGCTTCTAAAGCGGCCAACTCATCGTTGTTCTCTCGGATCAGACTAGCCAACTTCTTGAAGTATTGGCCTCTTTGGTCTGGAGTCAATTTTGACCAAGCAGGAAAAGCAGCTTTTGCTGCAGCGACAGCATTGTCGGTGTCATGCTCAGATGCCTCGTGGACTGTAACGATCGTAAGTCTGTTTTCTCCGAAATTCGTCGCAAGCTCTTGCGTTGACGTTCCAGACTCACCTTTTGCTACGAGCTTCAATGTGGCGGGGTTGATAATGTCAAACGTCTTCCCATTTGATGATTCAACGAACTATAAAGTAGTTAGCGGAGGCATCATCAATTGGTTTAAGAGAGCCAACCTCTCCATTAATGAAGAGACGCGTCTCGATTTTCTCCGGTAGACCCATTTTGATGGCAGAAAATCTAGAGCAAGTATATGCAAGCGTCTCTTGATAAGGGTTCAAAGGATTGTGGCAGCGTATGCTATCTCTTCCGTGGAGATAGGTGCGGTAAATTTGGAGAAGTAGCGAGGCTGTGGCACGGCGTTGCTTCGATGACCCCACCTCGGTGCCGTCTTGCTCCACACGTTCTCAAAACGACCCGCCGGAAACATCAACCCGCGGCTTCAGACATGTCGCGTCCATATCACCGCCAATATAGGCGAGCCCATTCGCGGAGCCCTCGCAAGAATTCCACCCTTGCTGCGAATCTCGCGTGGTTGGGGAATAGTTCCCTGTATCTCTGACAGCTTCGTGTTAGACTGATAATGATAAGAAGCGGCGTAGGGCCTCAGCGATCGGTTGACTTGCATTTTCATAACCTTTTTGAGACGCCGACATCATGGGTAGCGAGATTGAGCAATTGAAGGCTATGGTGGGGAAGCTTCAGGCGGAGGTAACGCGTTTGAGCGGTAGGTGCTTAGTCAGCTATCGATTAGCTTCCTGCGGCCTGCTAACGGAACACAGACCAGGAGGACATTCGCAAGCTTCAGTACACTTACGGGTATTATCTCGATAAGTGTCTGTATAAAGAGGTTAGTAGAGCGAACATACTACTTGACTGGAAGCTCATCTTAACAGGTCGCCAACCTCTACTCCGATCACCCAGACACATGCGTTGAGTTCCTCGGAGGCCGATACAATGGCAAGGAGGGCGTCAAGAGACTCTACATCGGTCGCTTCGCGAATGCCTTCGTAGCCGGACGCAATGGCCCTGTGCATGGCTTTCTTCTCGATCACCCACAGATGCAGGGCATAGTCGACGTCAACGCCGATGGCACGCGAGCCAAAGGTCGCTTCCGCAGCATGATGTCGGCCGGTACCCACGATAGCATCAAAGATACACACCCTCGCGGCCTGGTACAATGGTGGGAAGGTGGCATATACGAGAACGAATACATCAAAGAGAACGGGGCATGGAAGATCTTCAGGTTGAAGTACTTCCCCTTCTGGCACGCGACCTTCGAAAAGGGGTGGGCGCACACCAAGCCGAACTATGTACCCTTCCTCTCGAAGACGTACCCGGAGGATCCAAATGGGCCAGACGTTCTTTGCGATCGTCCGATGCTCTGGCCTGACACGCGCGTCGTGCCATTCCACTACAATCACCCTGTCACTGGTGAGCAAGTGGCCGACGATGATCTTAGAGCTCCACACTTTGGTCAGGATGCTTCAACAAGCACTCCTCCACTCGTGCTGAGCAAACCAGAATCTGATTCGTAAAGGCATGCTTAGCTTAGAATGTCGAATGACTTTATGACTATACCTGCGTTGCATGTGTCGATATGGCGCATGAAGACGTAGCCCTTCCTTTGCGTAATGCGATTGGAATGGTTCAAATATTCGAACAAATAATATCAGGTCTTTCGTGCTCGCATAAACTCGTCAGTGGCGTTTTTGGTGTCGTACAAGCACAACGCGGCCACGGCTTCAGAGCTCTTTGCATCCTACTCTATGCAGTCCAACAGGTTTATTGGAAGCCCAAAGTTACATCGCTAATGATGCGCAGCAAGCCCTAGAGAAAGAGCAACTGCACGCGACCAAAGTCGCCACACAAGCTTTCACAGTCACCACCATTTGATTTGCGTTATAGCCAGTTTTCCCGGTAAAGCATCCCTCTCAGCGGCTCGGAGACGGAGCAAGGCGACCTAACATCCCTGCGTCAGCTGCGTGCTATGATCTGTAATAGCTATATTCGGACGGGAAACTCTCAGTCCAGCGCTACGGCTATGTCCGTGTCCAAAAGTGTAGCATCGTCCCATATTCAGGGTTCAATGCTGTGTCGGACCAATAGTCCCGCTTGCGATCCCGCGCGGTCGCATCAATCCGGGCACAACAACCCCTGTAACCATCTCCAACTTCCCCGCAAGTCCACCTCCCCACATCCATACTCGTAACTTTCGAGCACGGCAGTACGTCTGGTAGCAAACCAATGCATCTCCTTGCCAGAACGAAAGATTGTAATATGAGTGACAATTAGTATTAGACCACCTTACTGCCATGCGGGAGAGCACAGCACGTACGCGATGGCACACATATTCTCTCTCGCGAACCCTGCCCCATCAGCGTATCATGGAGGGAGCCGATCGGATGACCAAGTCAAGTTCCCAGATAGTGGCTTCTTCCAAGGTTTCAACAAACCATCGCGCCTCGAAGCCGACATCTTTGAGCTCGAGACGACTGGTACAGTGAGTATGCCGTCCTGCAAAGACCGAGCGCGGAAGCTCAGTGCTTTCAGATCCCCAAGGATATAAACGGAACTTTTTTCCGTATACAACCAGACCATCGCTTCCCACCCTTATACGAGGAGGACATACACTTCAACGGCGATGGTTCGGTTTCAGCATTTCGTTTCGAGAACGGTCACGTCGACTTCAGGCAGCGATATGTACATACCGACCGGTTCAAGGCGGAAACGAAGGCGCGCAAGTCTCTGCTTGGCCGATACAGAAACCCATATACCGATAACGAGATGGTGAAAGGCATTATCAGAACAGCATCCAATACTAACATCATCTTCTGGCGCGGAGTGCTGCTAGCCATCAAGGAAGACGGCCCACCTTTCGCTATGGATCCGGTCACGCTAGAGACGGTCGGCCGATATGACTTCGACGGACAGGTACAATCTCCAACGTTTACTGCGCACCCCAAATTTGACCCAGACACTGGAGAAATGGTATGCTATGGCTATGAAGCTGGAGGTAACGGGTACGATGCCAGTTGTGACATCGTGGTGTACACGATTGACAAGGATGGGAAGAAAACTGAGGAATGCTGGTACAAGGCACCGTTCTGTGGGATGATACACGATTGCGCTATCACGAAGAACTACTTGATTCTACCACTCACACCAATCAAGGTCAATGCTGAAAGGCTCAAGAAGGGCGGCAATCACTTTGCGTGGGACCCAGACGAAGACCAGTGGTACGGCATCGTGCCTCGTCGGAATGGAAAGCCAGAGGACATTGTCTGGCTGCGCGCCGACAACGGTGTGTATGCCACTAGTGATATCTTGACAGGCGCTAACGATTTCAGGCTTTCACGGTCACGTCGCTGGCTCATACGAAGACTCGTCGGGACACATCGTCGTCGACTTGACCATAGCTTCAGACAATGTCTTCTTTTTCTTCCCACCAGACAGCCAGGCAAACACACCCACGACGTTACTTCAACGTAACAAGCTCGTCTCTGACACTTACCGCTGGGTCTTTGATCCCAAAACTCCAACCAACACACGGGTACAGCCTCATAAGCTCTTTGGTATCAACGGCGAGTTCTCACGTATCGACGATAGAGTCCTAACGAAGAAGTACAACCATTTCTGGCAATGTAACATCGACCCAAGCAAGCCGTATGACTTCCAGAAGTGTGGCCCGCCAGCCGGTGGACTCTTCAACGTCTTGGGACACTATGAGTGGGACAATGGTAAGAAAGATACCTTCTGGGCAGGACCAACATGTACGTTCCAAGAGCCTGTCTTCGTCCCTAAGGCCTCGTCTTCTCCATCAGGCTTTGTGGAAGGCGAGGGATACATCATGGCTTTGCTCAACCATCTCGATGTTTTGCGCAACGACATCCTCATCTTTGATGCGCAGAACCTTGCCCAGGGGCCGCTGGCTGTCATTCATCTACCTATTAAGCTGCGTCTGGGTCTGCATGGTAATTTCATCGAGCAGAAAGACATTGATGAATGGGCCGAGAAGCGCAAGGAGGGCGGTGAGGTTGGGCCGGCGGTACCGGCGAAGGAGATGTTGCCGTGGCAGAAGAAGATGGCAGAGGAGGAGGGCCTTGGGATTGCAGTGCCAGTACCAGGGAAGGGCTTTCTCAATGGCACGAACGGTGCGATTGGACTCAACTGTAATTGATCTGTCGGTGAGGTTTAAGTGACAAGGAGAAACTGCTAATGCAACCCGATGTCGATCGTGCTCGTATATCTGTCTCCCCTATTTGAACGGTGCATCCCTGGAATTCTGTTAAACTTGATCGTCTGGGGTGTATAAGAATAGCAAGCGCAAACTGCTTGCTTCCAATTAGTACAGGTACTATTCGATACTCACTTCCAGGTCACACAAGCGCTTCCGTACAGTTCCACACCCACCCTTTTAGCAGCCTTACGGACTAAAAAAGATGAGTTCTAAGCCCCCACTACAACTCCTTGACTCCTCAAGAAATTACTGGGGTGAATGGAGTGCACAGACATCATGCCCTGTTTCCTACCATTCTAGTGATGGGCCCGCCTCTAGTACTAAGGTGGCGATGAAAGCACCCGCTCCCTATATAAACCAGCTCACTTTTATGACCACGGGCCCATTATCTCCAGCCCGGCTGGTCAACTGAATACCGACTTACCAGAATCTCAATTTGAGTACGCCCGTCTACCCATTAAGCAAGATTAGGGACCAACCAGAAATCCCTATCAGATCGACCTCAGTCATGGCCGATCAATCCTTGCCAAAAGGAATTTTGTACACAACCCCAGCTCCGTCCTCCGGCATGAATCACAAGGCCTTGCGCAAAGCTCGAAAGTCCGCGGGAAGGGTAGCTAGGGGCGGAGTGTGTGTAGTCAACGAGCAGGAAGCTTGCGCCGGAGAGTCCCCATCTGTCGATACGCGGCCGATCGAAGATACGGTCCAGTACGAGTGTTGTATCTGTGGAGATGACTTCATGTTTTCCGAAGGAGTCGCTCACTGTACAGAACACTTCATGTGCAAAGACTGCGTCGTCGACGCCTACAACGCTGCCCTCGCAGACACTGAAGCCTTTCCGGCCCGGTGCTGTACTCCACTTCCACGTCGTCTTGTAGAACACTTGCTGAGCCCAGAGGTCCTCGAGACCTACTCACTCAAGGCACAAGAATACTACACACCACGCGCCATTCGCGTTTATTGTGTCAATGAGCGGTGTCGCTCATTCATCCCGAGATCTCATGTGGACAACAGCCACGCTTTCTCCACAGTGGCGCACTGCGGATGCGGGACTAACACCTGCGTCGGATGCCAGCATGAGTGGGAAGGTCAAGAGCACAGGTGTGTAGTGTCGGACGAGCCAGGAATGCGGCCGAAGTGGATGCCTGAGTACTCGAGCAGCTGTCGCGCAAAGTCATGTCCAAATTGCCGGGTCTGGATGGAGCACAAAGAAGCTTGCAACCATATGACCTGTCATTACTGTCGTCATGATTTCTGCTTCGTTTGCCTACTACCTTGGACCAACGAAGGCTTCCATCAGGATGAAGGTTGCCCGTCTTACGGAGATCCAGTCGCGGGGTATGATGAACAGGGGTATGAGCTTGGTGCTCGCGGCCTGCATCGAGACAGTGGTTATAGTCGCGCAGGACTCAATCGACTTGGCCAGCGACAGTTAAGCCACGCCATCACGCAGCACGATGCAGCTTATGATGGCGATGGCTACAACGATCCTGACTTTGATGATCATGGCTACCATGATGAGTTGGATGATGACATAGACTATGGCGACGAACGGGGTTATGAAGATGATGAACTGGAGTACGACGAGGATGATGCAACAGACGAAAATACGTCTGATGATGGGATTGCGACCGATCCAGCAGATCCGGCGCAAGTGGTCCACGACCCCGAGGATGAAGCCGAGCAAGATGGTCAAACTAATGACGTTGACAATGAATCTGAGCTGAGCTGGATCGAGGGGCCTCAAGGTCATTCCATCGAAGATGGCGAAGTAGGCGAAGTAGACGCAGCGCAGAGCGAGGCTAACGTAGCTGCTCCTGCAGACGATGTTGTTCCAGTCGGGACAAAGATTGTAACTCCACCAGATCCAGCACCACCACGCCCACGACCGTCACCACCGTCAGACCTGGTTCGTCAGCAGATTCGTCTCAGCCGACGCGTCCCCATTCTGGCCCCGAGACCACACGACGCTAGCGTCATCTTCGACGGCGGTACTCCGAGCTTCCTGCAGCTCAACTGTATCCACTCGTGGCGACGCAAGATGCTCTATACGACAGAGTATAGCTACTCGCGCTGCAAAGGATGTACATATCGTGCGAATAGCTGGACAAACTTCTGCTCTGTCTGCGGGCTGGTCGCTTGCGATTGGTGCTCACAAAGCTTCCGCTACCGATTCTTGGCCGAGTGGGAGTGTGCGGCGAGTATGGTGGATGTCTTCATTTGGGCAGAGAAGGGCGTGGTACCGTTCAAGGTTGAGCGTCGCCAAGAGCTGGAAAAGGTGGAGGACGAGATTTGGGCGGATTGCGACGAAGACACGCTGGGTCTCGCGAGACTAATCAAGGTTTTCGAGGCTCAGCTATCAGAGCTACAACCTTTTCTATACTATGATTTTGGAATTAGTTTGCTGTTCGAAGAGCTGGAGTTGGAGATGCTGAAGGACTACTGGGCTGTTACGGAGGAGGATGTGGGTATACCTGGGCTCACCATGACATTCGACCTGGCGAGGAACTTCTTTGCACCATTACTCTGGGATGAATCGAGGTAGCCACGTACAGCGAAGGAGTCCGGCAGTGGAATGATAATTCAATCACTACCGAGATCTGCAAGAAAACATAGCAATGATTTTGTGGAAACCTGTAGACGCCCAATGGAACGTCGATGTTCGCGTAGACGTGACGCGCAGTGATGACGTCATAGCGTGCCATTTTCGCGCGTCACCATCTCGGGGCCGTCTTCCGACCTCCTCCCATCCAAGATCAACACGACAGCAGCTACCAAAAGACAGCTCGAATTCAACGGCCATCACACAATCTTTCTTTTCGCTCCTTGCTTTCATTTGCATTACCTTCTGTTTCATTTCGTAGCGTTCATGTGCATCGTCCAATTGTCCAGCTTTATGCCTGCCATGTTCCCTCCTTCTGACAGATCGGTGACGTGGACTATTTCTTCACCGGGTGAGAGTTGTGAGCGTATTGTCACATCTAGTTGAGGGCACCAGTTTCGTGCTCTTGACACACTCTCGCGTAGCTCTCTTCTTCAACACACTGCATGAAGCAGTAGAATCAACGAAAAAAGGGTGGGTAATTATCCTCCGCTTCGTCAGTACGAGCCCCCAACGCAGCTCGCACTTGGGCTCTCGTGAGACCTCTGCTCTTACATTTCCGCCGTTGTATTGGCCCGGGGGTCGGGCAATCTATTTGGGGGTTATGTGCTCGCGAAATCAAGAGTTGGGGGCTTACTATATGTTACCATGCGCATCGGAGCGCGTTGGGATGCGCCGTTCGATCGTCAGCAAGAGCCCCAACACGCTCTCGCCTAGGTCTCGAGACCTTCGTGTGGTACCGTCACTCACGTCCGTCTCGCGGTTATTGAACGTCCTCGCCCAGTTGGGTGCTCAAGGTCCAGCCCAAGGAACGTAGTTCCAAGAACTTTTGCGCCAGATGAGCGGCCAAGCGCACGTTTCTTCCGTTCGGTCCGTGGCTACCCATAACACCCGCACGAGGAGCCCGCTCTCACAGATGTCGGCAAGAACCCGTCATACAGCGTAGCGGGCCCTTTGTCCACATGGTATGACCATCAGGTCTGGGGGCAGCATGATGGGCCTCGTAGGACGGTTCGACTTACACCGTAAACGGCGTGATCCATCCATGTGAGCGAAGGTTTCGGAACAAAAGAGGTACTCAGGGGTACCGAAGAGAAGTGGGAAGGTGGGCGGAGGGAAGGAAAGAAAGGACAGTCAGGAGGGATAGTCTTGTTCTTATTGCAGCCTGTCGGACCCCGGCGGCCGTATTGGCTCGTGCTCCACCACGTCCGTCAGGTATTTTGATCACGTTATTCACTTGCACCGCGAAGAGTGCCTAGACGCACAGACGTACTGAAATTCCTTCCTATACTTGGCGTGCTCTACTTTCTTTGAACCACTGACACCGAGATCGTACCTTATCCCCCTTACTGAATACCCGCCATGGCTCCCGGCCACCATCAATCGATCAAGTTCAACAAGCGACGCAGATCTTACTCGCCAAGTACCGACGACAAGAAGAAACAGAAGCAGACGCAGAAGCGCACGGCGGAAACCACATCGACAGTGCGACATGACACTCGCAAGGTTGCAGAAAACGCCCCGGAAAAAAACGCCGCCTCCAGGACCAAGGCAAGGAAGGCAAGGCGCGCGGCAGCGAGGGATAGGCTCACTCGTAGTACGGCTCGCTCCGGCAAAGCGTTGGCCGCCCCTCCAGTAACTACATTGTATGCGACCGCCATAGATCTTCCCGATGAACTGATTATGATGATGTTTGACTATGTAAGTACTCCCTGGTGTTCGCTCAAACTCGGTCGTAACGTGACTGGCGCTCCAGCAGAGTGTTGAAGCTAACTTGGGTAGTGCGAAAAGGAGAGCCAAGTGCAACTGTCCATGACCTGCAAGGCAATGCACCGAGTTGGAACGGACGCACGATTCCGGGACATCGACATCGTGGTCGGCCGGATAACGTCCAAGATGACCCCCGCTCAATTCTCGATTGTTCTTGGAAACTTGCGTTTCACTCGGCATCTCCGGATCACTGTACTGGATACCGATCGTGGAACAAGCCTCTTCAAGCGTATTCTCTCCCGTCTAGAGAAGCTCAGCCTGGTGTCGCTACGCTTCGTGGGTTCTCTCAATTACAAGTCGTACATCGGACTATACAGCCTTCTCACCAGCAAGGAGCGTGGCAAGATACTCAGATCTAAACTTCGTAACGGAATGCTTTGCAGATTGTTGTCGTGTAACTCGGCCGGCTGGCCAGATGCCTGTGAGTGTTAGCATACTCACGCGTCGACGTCTGCCGCAAGTGGTGGGAGGCGGTATGGGTAGCTAGGGAGGCTTACCATGTCTGTCTGAGCATTCGCATGCGCGCTGTCCACGATCTTCTCCACCGAGGACTTGGGTACATGTGTTGTCGAACGCTTCAAGCGGGCCGGCGAAGGTGTATTGGATTTGACTTCGTTGTCCATCCTGCTGGCGGACTGGGCTGGTTTCTCGGAAGTCACTTTGCTTTCCGTGTTCTCTCGACTGCTTCCATCTGCTCCATGTGCGAGCGCGGCGGTCTGGCTGTGTGTCGCCGGATTGGTCTGGGCCGTCGGCGACTTGAACCTATCTGGAGGAGAAGCGCGGCTTGACTTGGATGCAAGGCTTGACTGGGTCAAGTCGACGGCGCCTGTGTGCGCTGCCTGAGTATCGCGTATGTGGGCCTGCGTCGGCAGCTCTTGGGGCTTGTCTCTGATACCAGTCGCCTGGCGCTTATCATATTGACCTGCTGGCTCTTGCTCTGGGGATGCGGATCTGTTGGCGGAGTCGATGTCGAGCTTTGCCTCATGGTGAGCACCAATGTTCAGCCCTTCATCCCTCTCGAAGATTGACATCGGTCTGCTACTCTCCCCTCCCCACTCTTCTTCCCAGTCCTCTACAGGAAGGCAGTCAGCAAACTATTGATCATCGTACTCTTCAGAAGTGGTAACGTACCCAAAATGGCCAGACTGCATCTTCGTTCCTGGAGTATGCAATTTGTGCACGCCTGGTGTCTTTTCGTTCTCGTTGGCTCCGCGAATTGGCGACAACCCGGCAACAGGCAGGATGGCATTGTTGGGTTCTCGTCGCAGTTTGAGCACACTTCGGGCTCAGACAAACAAGGTCTCGATATCCTATCCTGGATATAGTGCCCTATCACCGCCGCGACTTTCCTGGCATCTCGCGGTAGTTCTATAGTGTGATCGCCTGATGGGGAGACAAGGCTATTCAGTGTCACGTCTTCTTCGTTCCAGTATCCAATCCTTATCGGTTCCTTGGTGTCATCTGGCCACATCATTCCACAAAGGACCTTCCGGATATCTCGTGCTCAGCCGTCTGTCAGAGCGATGCTCTGGAGCAGGGGATCCTGGAAGACATGACCGCTCTTCACAATCTCGCTTACTTTTGCCTGTGTACAGTACGCGGCGTTGTCTTTCTTCATGAAGTGGGGACTCGCATTGACTGTGTTTTGTCAGCACGATCGCCTATCCGTCTTCTATTCTTGCGTCGCAACTTACGCCAGATTTGGAGTTGGCGCTCGGCTTCACCCGGATCTGTCATGTCTGGAATGGTTGGAGAGGACTTTGAGGGTCGAGCAAGGTAATCCTTAGTGGGCCAGGTGATAGATGAGGGTGTGTCGCAGGCACATGTGTGAGAGCTCTCTACTCACCGCTGATTAGGTAATCTTTGCTCGCCCAATGTGGTCAATGCGCCCACTCATCATCAGTGCGTGTTTCTGCTCAGCGGTTTTCTCATTTCACGTCTTCGTTCCGTCTAGGTTGACACTTCAATCATCTACCCGCAAGCGCGCACAACGTGAGAAAAGTTGCACTCACTTTCTCGTTCACCGCTCGTCGCCATCTCTATACGGCAAACCGACACCGACTCGACCTCTTTAGCCACAGATCTTCCAGTATCATACTACGAATGATAAGCTCGCGCGCAGCTTGTCCATACTTCCAGTCAAGACAGCTTTCAAGAACCCGTCCCTGGTACCGCGACCGTTCATACCACAGACCTTGCATCCCATACGACTCAAGGGTCTTGAGCAACTGGTTGTAAAGATCTCGGTGTCAATCTTACTATGTCGGATGTTGACGAGACGTAAGAGGCATTACCCTCTCTGTATGCTTAGAAAATACACTAATTCGAGGACAACAGTGATGTGCGTCCTGTGGTTGTCAAGAAAACCTTACTGCCGTCGGACCCCCGAAATCCCCTGTACTATGTCGAGCGCGCCGGCTACCCATATCCGGAAACTTCCTTCTACGACAACTCAGATGCGCACACAGATGGTCGAATCCACAAGCCAAAGTACAGCGACCAGGATTTCACGGTGGGATTCAACATCACCATCGGGGAATGGTACAAGCTTCAGAATGATATCGCGATTGCTCTATTCCGCAGAGGACTTCTGTCTGATGACAGGTCTGTCAAGTTACCAGATCTTTCCCTGTACGACTTCATGCATCGCCATGGAGATTGGCTGCGCGACGATATCATGACCATGGACCTATTGTCTGGCGCCTCGAATGCTCCGGTAGCTTGGAAGGAGAGTATGGTGAGCAGTTTCATTCGCAGAGTGGCGGAGTGGTGGAAAGACAACCCCGACATGACTATTTCGGATACAGGGAGCATTCTTGGTGGAACAGACAAGATTGCGTGGAGGTTGAATCCCGCCTTGCAATACGAGAAGTTCAAAGGCCTATATCAGATGAGGCATTGCGAGGTTACCTTGGCATACTACGATGGCACATCACCAGATGGCGACAAATGCACATTCCGCTGCACTGAGCTTCTATCTGATGCATCAACCACCAACCTGCACGAGGACATCAAAGCTGGGAGCTTGAGGCTCGAACTTCTAAGGGTCAAACTCTATAATCTTCCCTCGCTCCCCGGAGAGACGCCAGAAGAGAAGAAGAGAAATGCCGATAAGCTTAAGATATCATGGCAGAGCAAACCTGGAGTCTGGAGTCCGATCGACAACGATAGGCGATTGCAAATCGCAATTCGAGAGGGGAGACAACCGTATGCGTACGATATCGAGTTCCTGGTCCAGGACAATGTGAATGTTCGTTATACATTCGAAGTTGTTTTGCCTTCACTAATTGAAAATAGATCCTTGTACATGGTGCGCAGAACTCGACAGATCAGCTGAAGCGGAAGATGAAATCTGGTGGGAAAGGAGAACCTCTGGGTGGTCTGACCCCGCGTAAGCGCCCGAGGAAAAGCGGACGACGGTGAATACAACCACTGTGGATGGTGGAGAATACTATAGACTGGGCGGAGGGCATGAGGGGTGGAAAACGGCGAGGCGACCGATGCAGACGGCACGGTATCTGGGAATCGAAGAGGAAGTGGCCCAGTCACACTCGATTGCATCCCAGCATAGGCTGTTTCTTTGGTATGGCGTACACGGCGAGCAGGATGGAGTTGCTGTGGACCAGCAGAGGCGCCGGGTGATGCCAATGACATGACGGAGGTAACCACGATGTATTCTAGCAAATAATGCACTTCCTGCTACTGATCTGGCTAGTGTGCGATTGATGTTTGATGTCCTTTGCGTCTGCTCGTCTCGCACCATCTCCGCCGCCTGCCAACGTCCACGGCCCCAGCTTCTCAACCGTTCAAAGCAGAGGTAGAGGAGGGGTCGCAATGCATGGGCTAAGAGGCGCGACATCCATGTCCATGTCCCCAGCTTCTTGTCTGTGCGAAGTAGAGGTAGAGAGGGTAGCGATGCATAGCCTAAGAGGCGCGATATCTATATCCATGTCCCCATGTTCTTTTCTGTGCGAAGTAGAGGTAGAGAGGGTAGCAATGCATAGCCTAAGAGGCGCGGTGTCCATGCCATCTACATCTCCGTCGTCCTTCTGATCCTCGTGGTCCTCTTCCTTCTCTTAGTCCTCTCCTTCTTCCACCGGGTTCCTGTGACCACCGCAGCTCGCCATATCGCTGGCGTCAAGACCTGTACGGGTACCGGCCGCTGCGCATTCTCGAGCAGACCCCACAGCGGTCCTCTCTTTGAATGGAGTCGCATAGGGTGTTGCGAACTCGTTGCCACTTCCCCTGCTTCTCGAGCATGTTGTTGGAATGTATGTGGGGTCTGGTTCTCCGACGTGTTCGTAGTCGGCGAGCAAACTAGTCAGATAGGGGCCTGTATCTGCGCACGATACTCCCTGTGACTCTCTTGTCCGGCCCTGTTGTGGGAGACATGGCGGAGAAGAAGAGACTTCATGTTGGTGCTGCGGGAGTGGGAGAGGCCTGTTGGACATTCCTTGGAGACGAGAGGACTGGAAAGGACCCATGATGTGATGACTGGGTCCCTTCCGGAAACGATCCGTAGTCGGATGACAAAACGGCTTTCGCGAATTTTGGGTCTGGAAACGGCGGAGGCATTAGGTCAGTTCGACATAATGGCGTGGATGATGGAACGACAGAGGAGGCGCCTTGGGAAGACGTCTAGATCTGGATTGGGTCGCTCTTGTTTCCAGTCTCCCTCCTCTTCGCGCTGACGTCTCTTCCTGGGTAGGGCGAGGAAGAGTCTACTCTGGCAGAGGAAGCGCCTTGGGACGAGATCTGGATCGGGTCGCTCGTCTTTCCAGTCTCCCTCCTCTTCGCGCTGACGTCTTTTCATGGATAGGGCGTGGAAGAGTCTACTCTAGCATGTTTGCAGCTGGTGTCTTCCGCCTGCGCGACTTCGGCATCTTCTAATATTCTCTTTTGGCCCATACTGCTGCGCCGGTGATGTTGTCCGTAACGAGAGACCGGAGTGAATTTTGAAGCAGAGTCTACAATGCCGTAGTGCTGGTGGTGCTATACTAGGAGACGTCTGAGGGGTGGGGGTGGGGGTGAGGAAGACGCCAGCGCAGGATCTATGACGTCACCCACGCTCGGTACAGCCGCTAAACCGCAAAGGTCTCTATCTAACTTGAAGACTCCGACCTACCTACCTACAGCTCTCCGTATTCAAGTACCACATATCCCAGTGCTTTGGATATTTGTGCTCGCACCGGATCTTCAGCTCTCCGGCTACTGCCGTCTATAGTCCCACAACTGCTGCAGCGCGCAAAGAGCGCAGGCATCGCAGGCATCGCGCTCGTTGTCGTAGCCGAGTTGGCTGAACTTGCGCGCTGCAGCACGCGCATCAGCTCACGATGTATCAAATTACAGCTGTCTGGTAAGCTCTACATAGCATACTTCTTGTAGTCTGCTATCTATTAGATAGAGGCTTTGCTTAACGTAGGTGAGATAGGTTCCTTTGCCCAGTACGGCTCGTCGTCCCCAAACGCGACTTCCTCCAACGCGCCGCTCCGCAAGTTCGCGCCTGCGCAGCTTCCTCAAACAGAAAGACATCGCGCACAATCAATTCCAAAATGCGGGGCCACAGCATATCGAGCGTAATTTCGCTGCCCTTCTGCTCTTCTCTTCCGCGCCGTTCTTGTCCAGTCCTGTCATTATCCAGTCCATTCAGCCCAGCATGCCTCGCTTCCAGAGCCGACGAGAGCTCCTTGAGATTGAGGTCATGAACCGGCTTCTACGAGAGCCATACTGGCAGCCCTTCATGAGAGAGGAGGTAAACGCCGCCAACAAATTCAGAGCTACGCGGGCCTACAAGGAACACCGAGAAGCATACGACAAGAAGAACAGCACACCCGCTGCCTCTACGTCTAAGCCTGGTGAGACTACGCCAGCTCAGCATGAAGCTGGTGACGGAAAGGAACTCCCCGCTGCGCTGAAGACACCGCCCGCTGCCTCCACGTCCAAGCCTGGTGAGACTCCGCCAGCTCAGCATAAAGCCGGCGACGGACAGGAACCCCCAGCAGAATTCGATGCAAGAAAGTCGCCGATCACCACCACCGCGACCATCACCACCGCAGCGCCCATGTCAACTGCAGCCAACATCTCACCCGCAGCGCCCATACCAACGGCAGCTAATATCTCAACCGCAGCGCCTACTCTTACAGCAGCATTGAATGCCACAGCAGCATTAACTGCCACCGCCATCCCCATCACAGCCGCCATCCCCATCACAACCGCGACGCCCATCACATCCGCGACGCCCACTCCCACAGCAGCATCTACTGCCACTGCCACCCCATTGGAACACCCAGCATACAGGACGACTGGTCTCCTCCTCCGGACAACGACGACCACGAAGATTATGGCGTCGCCATTCCGTTCAGTCAGAGTAGCGCGCAGCCCCCAGAGCCAGAGTCTCGGAAAAGGGTTAAGCTGACTGTCGACTTGTCGAAGCCACCAAGCCAGTCGGACATTGAGGCAATGCAGCTTACCAAGGCAAAAGATTTGGACCGCGCATCCGATTACATCCTGAAGCTGACCCTCCGAATGGACACGTGCCCACGGGTGGGGATGCTCCGTGACGTCGTTCACATGGCTGTGCAGCAATATCAAGAGTCCGACGGTGCCATACCGCTGCGTCTTCTTCCGCTCGGACCGTGGCCAATCAGCCTCGCCTCTATGCTCGAGGTGTGAAAAGCCAAGATGTGGCTGTCCGGCACGACTATCGACTTCCTTGTCGAGAGATGTGGCAATTCACGGGGGTACTCACCGGAGGTCGTGTATGTCGCTACAAGCCGTCCAGTATACATGGCAACCATCGGCACGTCATCATCTAACCCCGAGATACGCCCCGACATCGCGTCACTTATTCCGCAATCAGTCTTCATCCTCCCTGAGCTCGACGCCGCAGCATTCATCGTCTTCACTTGGAATCCGACGAACAGCCATTGGGTAGTGGTGCAGGCCCTATGCATGGAATTTGGGGCGGGTCTCATGCGCGTGTACGACACAGGACGTAGATACCGATCTACGTCTATGTTCGAGCAGGAGCTCCGGCAATTCGTTGCGCTGGTGGCGCTCTCTCACCCCCGGTCCAGATTAGCGAACGTCGATTGGAACACGGTCGCCGTTAGATACGAGGAAACAGTGCAGCAAGAGGCAGATGACTGCGGGGTCTTCACAGCGTGGAACGTGAGGACATTACTTCACAATGACCAGCCCGCGAAGTCGGCCTCCAACGCCTTGAGCGTTGGCATGACACTCCGACGGGAGCTGTTCACCGGAGCACACAGCACTATCAGCGGCCGTGATCCCCCTTATTGCTCGAGCCAGGCTGCGCTCGATGCGCACATCGAGCATCTATCTGGCGACATGCGCAACCCCACTGGCCTTAGCCCGACTAGCAACCACCACAACGATGACAAGAAACCAGGGTACGACGGATTACCGCTTACATCCAGCGAATCAGTAGCCAAACCAACGAAGAACATTCATTCAATAATGTCTTCCAAACGCCCGTTCACCGACCGTGCTTTCTCCTCCCACAAACGTTCACGATCTGAGAACACTGCACACAGTGCGCCCTCTTTCTTAATAGAGAATGCACGTCTCTCTCTACATTTACCTTTTGCTTCTGCAGGAGATATACCGATCATGGAGCCAAAGATTGATACAAGATGCGCCTGGCGACTCGGTTGGCCCAGGCTGCGAAGCCTGCCACTGCAAAGTCTGCCAACGACCACCAAACACTTGGTCGCCCACCAACCCGCGATCAACAAAATCTTAGATACTCATAGCGTAAGCACTCTCGGTCCTGTTCGATACGTCGCGCGGACAAGGCCTACAGAACTGGCCACCTCCCACCCAACGATCGTATCCTATACGGATCTCGGAGAGCCGCGCCAGTACGAGCACTGCGCCTCTGCAGTCCAAGAAATCGCTCAGTATATCCTATCCAACAACATAGACGCTTCGATCGAAGCTATCGACCGAGTGGTCGGCGAGAGCTTCACAGTCACAGCATTACAAGGACCGACGGCGGCAGAGATAGCGCGTTATTGGGCGAGCAAGAGACGAACCCTTCTCCGTACGATCGCGAATAGGAAGTGGCTGAGCCTTGACTGTGTTAACCTTGGAAAATCCACCGACGGTCTAAAACCTACTATCGTCATCACGGCATCAGACGCAGACGCAGATGTGTGGGACCAGATTATAGCGAGAATCAGCGTTCTCTTTGACTACAAGCTGGAGGTAGAGCTCCTGTACGGACCGCGCAGTAGGATCGATCTAGCGGATGCTGTAGGAGATACCGAAGAGGCGGAGATGTCGGATATTTCAACCAAAGTAGAGGAAGAGGCGGACTTCGCAAGCAAGGAACTGAAGAAACCTAAGAGTATCGCGAATGAGTCGGAAGACGAAGAATTCTGCCGTCCCTCGCATTTCTCTACTAACATCTACCCTAGTACATCTGTAGAAGTAAAGAGAGGCCTATTAGGAAGCGTTAGTAGATTCCTAAAGATCGAATTCTCTAGACTGCCTACTCCCGCCACCTAAGTTAGTCTAACTAACTTCTACGTACTATAGAGAGGTAACAAGAAGCTAGTGCAACCGCCTTATCTAAGGGAAGCTTCTTGCGGCTCAGTCACCGTAGTAGTACCATTAGATCGCGACAAGACCCGGTACGTCCGAAGACGCAAACTCATAATCAACAAACACAACAGATATCTCCGCGACGCAAGTTCGAAGCATCAAGCTGTAGAATCCGAGAGCCATCGGTCCAAAAGGCAGCAATGGCGAGAAGAAAGAGAAGAAGAGCGCAAAGAGCGTAAGCGGGTGGAAGAGGCATCCAACGTTGCAGGAACAACATGGGCAAGCTCATCAAAAACCTCTCGTCCTCATCCCAGGTACACAGCGAAGCAGCATGAGAATTGGACGGAACACAGCCGCAGTACCAACGATACAACCGAGGGCCCAGCCCTGGAGTGGGACATTGACTGGTCGCTATTCTCGATAGACGCACCTCGCTTGGCGGTATCAAAGACTCCGCGTTCAACTGATCACCGGCACTCTGCATCAGATTCGGAGATATCCGAATGGGGTTCGATACAAGAAGATAGAAGCTATGAGGTCGTCAAGATCGGTAGGACTTCAGGGTCGCTGAGCGCATATCTCACTCTCCTAAGATTCGACATCATCTTACGCAGCATGACCTCGACGAGCAGGACATCATTGTCCGTAGCGAAGCCGTCGCCATTCTCGAACACAAGACGCAGAACCTTCCATACCAATCCGTACCAGATTTCAGTGGTCGCAAACAAGAAGCTCTCATGCGACGTTTTGCCAGGCGCTACCTTCCTACGATCCGCAATGCAGCCTTCCAAGTAATGCGTTATAAGCTTGGCACTATGCTGCGCAATAGGAAAACGCTGAGCAAGAGGACAATGAAATTCCCCCGTGCGAACGTTCGCCATCCCGGTTCATTTGTTAATGGGAAATTCATCAAGGCCAATACGCGCATTATCCCTACATGCATCGAAGCGTACGCCCTCGAAGGCAGCACTACCATCCGCGCCACCGCGGCTCGTGCTATCTTTGGCACAGATCTCCATGTTTGCGCTTCACCGCCTGACCCGACACGCACGTACGATATGGTACTTCCGTGCTTCCGTCGCTCGGGCAGGCCACGGGACGGTATCAGCTCCGACACCGAAGTCTTCCACAACGAATCGGAAGACGTCGATGTACGCCTACAAGCGATGTATGATCAATGGGAACAAGTCTTCAACAACTACCCAAGACCCCACGACAAGATTGACACACAAGGAGCGCTAGCAATGCAAAGCTTTAGGCCGGTCTGGATCCCACTGGTATTAGGGTACATCACATCGACACTCCCAGTTCTCAATTCAGCTGGACATTCAGCACGAGTGGCAAGCGTATACGACACGATGCGAAGGGTCATTGACCATGTTCAGGCTCTGGCGGGTCGGCGCATCCGTGTCTTATTCCTCTTTCCGGGCGTGGACGGACTGACAACCAACAATGAGTCCTGGCAATACCTAGTCGACCGCTTTCCAGAAGCTTTGTTCTCTTTAACCGCTATCGTGTCCCCGCAACTCGGAGTGCTCTACCCATCGGTATTTACCAAGGTCGGGCGTTATGCTTGGACGCACATTGACGTCGAGGAACTCTACTTTTGTCACAGCGAGATGCTTCGCGGGTTCGACAACGCTACACTCTTCCTTCAGTCTCCAAAGCACACTCGCTTTATCTCTTGGCTTACTGCTCTTCACGAATCTTCGTCTAACAACAGCGATTCTCGTCTACTTCAACGTCTTCGCTCTGCAAATAGCCTCTCTAAGTGATGTAGATTGTAGTATATATATTCCTTCTTAGTTTCACTAAATACTATTTCTTCACTTCTTAAGACTACCTGGTAGAATATGCCGCACGCCTTAGACAAGAAAAAAGCTGAGTAGGTCTGGGGGCTACATCAACATGAAAACACGCAAAGTAGGTGATTTACCGTTGATGTAGGGTCTAGGACTATAAGACTTTTCTTAGGTTGACATGCATATGTGATGAATACACAGGCGCCTTTTTAGCTTATACTAAACAGGTCTGCAGACTACATTAGGACAAAATCATGCAAGGTGAGTGACTTGACATTAATGTAGGCTCCAGGGTGTTCAGGATTTTCATAGCCTGACGTGATTTCGCCGTTTGCCACCGAGGAGAGGGACTATACCTACTCCCAGCACTACCGGTTTCGTCATTTCAGATCTACCGATCAAAATCGGATTTGTTGCAACCTATCTCGCATAAGATAAAACTCGGACAGGCCTGCAGCCTACATTAAGGCAAGAATATCCAAAGCAGGCGACCTGAAGGCAACGTGGGCTCCAGAGTGTTCAGGTTTTTCCTGTATGCCCCCAATTTGGCCCGCCTCGTTCAATGTGTTGTACCGATAATATGAAGACGTCCATCGAGCACGCACACTGGACTGTCCATGATCTATGTGGAGGTGTAAAGTAAAAATGTAAAGGGACTGTCTCGATTTTATTTTTCCATACCGATACGAAATCAAAATTTGGTTTATCTCCGCGGATCACACTTGAGCGAATAGCAAGCAATAGACTGGGCCTCATACTTGCACAGATAGCAAGAGGACGAGGAGAGCCGAGAGCCGTTTGAAAGATAGATACATCTACAACAAGACCTAGTAAGCAGCGCGTAAGTTGAGACATCAATACTCGAGCGCAGAGTGAAGGAGATAGGTGGGAGTCGATCTTCCCAATGGATGTGTATTGCATGATGGGACCAATGACAAAAAGGGTATAGCGTAGTCGACGATAGCCCAGAATGTGGGGGGCAGCGTGTCACATGCCACACCTGTGTCTCTGTTTGAGGCCATGTGAAGCGTATTGGAGGTGTCGGCTGAGCCTAAGTGGTCTAGAGGGGTGTCATCCGTACGCTGGTATCGTAGTGAGGCTGGCGGGGGTGCTGTCGTCGTGGTGGCGAAGAGGGACTGGGGGCAACGAAGTACTTGTGTGGCTAAGGACATGATGGTGCGAGTGATGCGAAAGCGTACAGTGCATAGCAAGCTCTAAGTACTCCGGAGTAGATGCCTCGCGTCGGCAGGACTGTGATAACGTAGTGGTTGCGATGGCGGGCTGGGAGTGGGGAAACTTGCATGGCGTGTCGCGATACGCTGATTGGCTGAGCGGGTGGGCTGGCTCAGTCGTGCCTTCCTTTCCTAAATAGCGCTCCTGCCATGTGACCATCTCTGCTCCTTCCTCGTGATTCAACTCAGAAGTTGGTCGTTCGATCCTGCCTGAAGAAAAGCCCAAAGTCTGCAATTTCAAGACAGGTAAGAGCTTTTTGTTCTCTTTTCTCTCTTTCTCAGTGTGCATCCAGCCTGTCAAGCGTCGCCGGCCGAACAAGTTGCTACACCTTCGTCCGTCACCTGATTTCGCGCGCATCCACATCCATTTGGAACATCGTCGCAGTACCATCGGTAAGTGACCATGGCTCTTTTCGCGCGACCGCCGGAAAGCCCTGCATAGACATGCCACCCTGCGCTCCTGCACGGGCTGTCGTTTGAGAAGCGCACCTGGCGTCATGGTGGCCTCGCGCCTGCCCGCTCGCTTTCCGCGGTGTTGTCGGTCGGCATCCCGCACTCGATGGACGCGCATCCACCACGACGCACGACGCCATTGTGCGCTTCCTACCGCTCGCACGATACGACGGCGTTCTTTTGAGTCGTGACAGTTGCGTCTCACAACAACGGCCAAATGGAAGCGCCCAATCCTTCTGCTTGCTGGCGCTGTGTCGCACCACCTTGACCTACTCACCTGCTCGCGCCCGTGCTAATGTTTGTCGAACGCAGGCCTCTATTGCGCTTCCCAAGCGCTCGATTGCTACATCAAGTCGTCTTCGGCTTGTGCGTGAACCGGTGGGCACAGCGCCGCTGCTCCCCCGCCCCGGTGCGTTGCGCCTGCGACTCACGCTTCGAGCGCGTCTTTCTGCCACTTTCACCAGCCTTCCCATACGTCACCCGCCTAACTCACTCACTCACGGCTACCTCCTGGTCGCCCAAAGGAGCACTGTCTCCTAGCCAGAGTTCAGCGCCCTCACTCACCATTGGTCCTGTACATCCCAGACCTCGCCGTCTCAGCAACCACGCGCAGAACCTCGACGTCGATCCTAGCGTCCCACGCGGATTCCAGCTGCTTCTACCCATCCCTTCCAGATACCCCACCAGAAACCATGGCTGATACCGCCGGATACCCTACCGACGGCAAGCTGGATGCCCACAACGTCCACACCAACAAACGGAAGCGCGACACGCGCGACCAAGGCCTGAACCGACCTGCTCCCCATTCCGCCAACAACGACCTCACCGACCAAGCCACAGCCTCATTTCTCGCCGCGCACAACGCCGCCGACGACGACATGCAGCAACAGTTCGACGTACACCACAACGGTGGGACCAACACCGCGAGTGTCGGCGACACTGCCGCCGCCGCACTTGCCTATCACCAGATGACGGTCCCCCAGGCGACGGAACTCCAGTTCCAGCCACAGAACTCAGGCGACGGCTCCTTCAGCATGGGAGACCACGGCCAACAACAAACGCGCATGCAAGACTTTAGTCTCGAGGCTTTGAAGGCAGCTACACAGACGGGTCGTCCCGGTCAAACAGCACCCAGCGACTCGCCACCGCAAAGCTCTGCGCACAAACCTCAAGTCGGCACAGATGAGTGGCACAAGGTCCGGAGAGACAATCACAAAGAAGGTAGGCGTCCGTGCGAGCCCTCCCCGATACAGTTACTAACAGCTGCATAGTCGAACGCCGCCGTCGCGAGACTATCAACGAGGGAATCAACGAACTAGCCAAGATCGTCCCCGGCTGCGAGAAGAACAAGGGCTCCATCTTGCAACGGGCCGTTCAGTTCATTACCCAGCTGAAGGAGAACGAGCAGCAAAACATCGAGAAGTGGACGCTTGAAAAGCTACTCACCGAGCAAGCCATCACCGAGCTCAGCGCTAGTTGCGACAAGTTCAAGGCCGAATGCCAACGGGCGTGGGACGAGTGCAATATCTACAAGCGCACATGCGAAGCCAACGGCATCATACCCGACGAGATCAAAGAGCGCCAGGAGAACGGCGAACAGACGGGAGCTAATCCCATGTAGAACTGGGAGGAAGCCTCGCTTTTCGACTATCTCTTCGACGCGATAGCAACCTTGCCTTGATAGCCATGTTCGGAAGACACATATCTGGTCTTCTTTTCTCGACCTGTCGGTCTACTGTTCATTCCCCGCACTGGCAGTGCGGCAGATTATGTTATGTTCGGCGTACAGCTGTGGAGATATCGCTCGCTCTTTAGGGACGGGGTTTTCTTATTCGTTTGCATCTGGCGGCAGCGATCGCGGTGCGCCTGGGTTGGCCTCTCCCATACAGACAACCGGGGCTTCTCTTACGCCTTCTGAGGGCTAGCGACACATTTTACAGCAAGGGGGCGTTCTGCAATGGTACATCAATTTCGGTACGCAATACCCATCGCTAGTTGTGTTATGAGTAATATGAGACTGTTTTGTTGGGATGACTTGCAACATACGGGCATTAGAAACAAGTGAATGTTTAGCAGGAGTCGCGCTAATCGGAGCCCTGCTTACCCATCCGTTAGCGGTCGGCGCATCCCACCTGCCGTGCATACACAGCGCAACTCACCTTCTTGAACCGTGAAGACACTTGCCTCGCCGCTCTCCCAAACTGATCCGTCCGAAAACCATGATCCGCACGTGAAAGGAGTCCCAGACATGGTGGGCGTAGCACGTTTCCACCGACCTGACAACCCCACACCCACATAATTCACGCGA